CTCTCCCTCATCGTCAACAAAAGAAGGAGCTGATCGTGGACTTCAGGAGACAGCACGCCCCTATCCACATCGACAAGGCCACAGTGGAGAGGGTGAAAAGCTTCAAGTTCCAAAGTGTGCACATCACTGACAACCTGAAATAGTCCATCCACACAGATAGTGTGGTGAAGAAGGTGCAACAGCATCTCTTCAACTTCAGAAGGCTGAAGGAATTAGGCTTGGCCCATAAGACCCTCACAAACTTCTACAGATGCACCTTAGAGATTATTCTGTATCATAGTCTAGTACGGCAATTGCGCCGTCCACAACTCCAGAGGGTGGTGTGGTCAGCCCAACGCATCACCGGGGGTAAACTGCCTGTCCTCCAGGACATCTACAGCACCCGGTGTCACAGTAAGTCCAAGAAGATCATCAAGGACTTCAGCCACCCGAGTCACGGCCTGTTCACCTCGCTACCATCTAGAAGGCAGAGACCATGCAGGTGCATCAAAGCTGGGACCGAAAGACTGAAAAACAGCTTCTATCTCCAGGCCATCAGACTGTTAAATAGTCATCACCAGGGTGTAAAGTACTTAAGTAAAAATACTTGAAAGTACTACTTAAGTCGTTTTTTGGGGTATCTGTACTTTACTATTTATATTTTTGACAACTTTTACTCCACTACATTCCTAAAGAAAATATGTACTTTTTACTCTCATACATTTTCCCTGACATCCAAAAGTACTAGTTACATTTAGAATGCTCAGGCAAGACAGTAATATGGTCCAATTCACGCACCTATCAAATTTAAACAAGAAAAAATCTGGTTTGCTTAATATAAGGAATTTGATGTATAGCATTTACTTTTACTTTAGACTTTTACTAAAGTAGTATTTTACTGAGTGACTTTCACTTTTACTTGAGTCATTTTCCATTAAGGTATCTTTACTTTTACTCAAGTATGACAATTGAGTACCTTTTCCACCACTGCCACCTTCCAGTACCCTGCCCTAAACTTAGTCACTGTTACTTGCCGGCAACCACCCAGTACTCTACCCTGCACCTTAGAGACTGCTGCCCTGTGTACATAGTCATTGAACACTGGTGGACTTCTGATCCCCACAAGGATAGTAAAACCAAAAAGACAAACACACACACTCACTTACTCATGCACAAATAATACTGTCTGATATGTTTGCTGAATTTCCAGCCTATGTGTGTGTGTGTGTGTGAGAGAGAGAGATACAGTGCCTTGCAAAAGTATTCCCCCTTGGCGTTTTTCCTATTTTGTTGCATTACAACCTGTAATTTAAATTGATTTTTATTTGGATTTCATGTAATGGACATATACAAAATAGTCCAAATTGGTGAAGTGAAATTTAAAAAATTACTTGTTAAAAGAATTCAAATTAATTAATAACGGAAAAGTGGTGCGTGCATATGTATTCACCCCCTTTGCTATGAAGTCCCTAAATAAGATCTGGTGCAACAAATTACCTTCAGAAGTCACATAATTAGTTACATAAAGTCCACCTGTGTGCAATCTAAGTGTCACATGATCTCAGTATATATACAGTGGGGAAAAAAAGTATTTAGTCAGCCACCAATTGTGCAAGTTCTCCCACTTAAAAAGATGAGAGAGGCCTCTAATTTGCATCATAGGTACACGTCAACTATGACAGACAAAATGAGGAAAAAAAATCCAGAAAATCACATTGTAGGATTTTTTATGAATTTATTTGCAAATTATGGTGGAAAATAAGTATTTGGTCACCTACAAACAAGCAAGTTTTCTGGCTCTCACAGACCTGTAACTTCTTCTTTAAGAGGCTCCTCTGTCCTCCACTCGTTACCTGTATTAATGGCACCTGTTTGAACTTGTTATCAGTATAAAAGACACCTGTCCACAACCTCAAACAGTCACATTCCAAACTCCACTATGGCCAAGACCAAAGAGCTGTCAAAGGACACCAGAAACAAAATTGTAGACCTGCACCAGGCTGGGATGACTGAATCTGCAATAGGTAAGCAGCTTGGTTTGAAGAAATCAACTGTGGGAGCAATTGTTAGGAAATGGAAGACATACAAGACCACTGATAATCTCCCTCGATCTGGGGCTCCACGCAAGATCTCACCCCGTGGGGTCAAAATGATCACAAGAACGGTGAGCAAAAATCCCAGAACCACACGGGGGGACCTAGTGAATGACCTGCAGAGAGCTGGGACCAAAGTAACAAAGCCTACAATCAGTAACACACTACGCCGCCAGGGACTCAAATCCTGCAGTGCCAGACGTGTCCCCCTGCTTAAGCCAGTACATGTCCAGGCCCGTCTGAAGTTTGCTAGAGTGCATTTGGATGATCCAGAAGAGGATTGGGAGAATGTCATATGGTCAGATGAAACCAAAATATAACTTTTTGGTAAAAACTCAACTCGTCGTGTTTGGAGGACAAAGAATGCTGAGTTGCATCCAAAGAACACCATACCTACTGTGAAGCATGGGGGTGGAAACATCATGCTTTGGGACTGTTTTTCTGCAAAGGGACCAGGACGACTGATCCGTGTAAAGGAAAGAATGAATGGGGCCATGTATCGTGAGATTTTGAGTGAAAACCTCCTTCCATCAGCAAGGGCATTGAAGATGAAACGTGGCTGGGTCTTTCAGCATGACAATGATCCCAAACACACCGCCCGGGTAACGAAGGAGTGGCTTCGTAAGAAGCATTTCATGGTCCTGGAGTGGCCTAGCCAGTCTCCAGATCTCAACTCCATAGAAAATCTTTGGAGGGAGTTGAAAGTCCGTGTTGCCCAGCGACAGCCAAAAAACATCACTGCTCTAGAGGAGATCTGCATGGAGGAATGGGCCAAAATACCAGCAACAGTGTGTGAAAACCTTGTGAAGACTTACAGAAAACGTTTGACCTGTGTCATTGCCAACAAAGGGTATATAACAAAGTATTGAGAAACTTTTGTTATTGACCAAATACTTATTTTCCACCATAATTTGCAAATAAATTCATTAAAAATCCTACAATGTGATTTTCTGGATTTTTTTTTCTCATTTTGTCTGTCATAGTTGACGTGTACCTATGATGAAAATTACAGGCCTCTCTCATCTTTTTAAGTGGGAGAACTTGCACAATTGGTGGCTGACTAAATACTTTTTTTCCCCACTGTACACCTGTTCTGAAAGGCCCCAGAGTCTGCAACACCTCTAAGCAAGGGGCACCACCAGGCAAGCGGCACCATGAAGACCAAGGAGCTCTCCAAACAGGTCAGGGACAAAGTTGTGGAGAAGTACAGATCAGGTTTGGGTTATAAAAAAATATCAGAAACTTTGAACATCCCACAGAGCACCATTAAATCCATTATTCAAAAATGGAAAGAATATGGCACCACAACAAACATGCCAAGAGAGGGCCGCCCAACAAAACTCACGGACCAGGCAAGGAGGGCATTAATCAGAGAGGTAACAAAGAGACCAAAAATAACCCTGAAGGAGCTGCAAAGCTCCACAGCGGAGATTGGAGTATCTGTCCATAGGACCACTTTAAGCCGTACACTCCACAGAGCTGGGCTTTAAGGAAGAGTGGCCAGAAAAAAAGCCATTGCTTAAAGAAAAAAATAAGCAAACACCTTTGGTGTTCGCCAAAAGGCATGTGGGATACTCCCCAAACATATGGAAGAAGGTACTCTGGTCAGATGAGACAAAAATTGAGCTTTTTGATCATCAAGGAAAATGTCTGGCGCAAACCCAACACCTCTCATCACCCCTAGAACACCATCCCAACAGTGAAGCATGGTGGTGTCAGCATCATGCTGTGGGGATGTTTTTTATCGGCAGGGACTGGGAAACTGGTCAGAATTGAAGGAATGATGGATGGCGCTAAATACAGGGAAATTCTTGAGGGAAACCTGTTTCAGTCTTCCAGAGATTTGAGACTGGGATGGAGGTTCACCTTCCAGCAGGACAATGACCCTAAGCATACTGCTAAAGCAACACTCGAGTGGTTTAAGGGAAACATTTAAATGACTTGGAATGGCCTAGTTAAACCCCAGACCTCAATCCAATTGAGAATCTGTGGTATGATTTAAAGATTGCTGTTTGCATGTTGTGTAAATCAAATAATACAAACCCCAAAAAAATCCATTTTAATTCCAGGTTGTAAGGCAACAAAATAGGAAAAATACCAAGGGGGTGATTATTTTCACAAGCCACTGTATAAAGGGCACCAGAACTCTAGCTCTGCAGAAGGAAGCATACAAGTGTTGACTCATCTTTGACCTTTTCCCCCCCCACCCACACCTTCACCCACTACAACCTAACCTCTCCCCTTAACCCATATCACACTGTCACTGTATGATCTTAGGGCAGAGGGTGGAAGAAAGGGGGTGAAGAGTGAAGGAGGAAGACAGACAGACAGAGTGTTCTAGTAGATGCCTCTCCCCTATCGACTGTCTGTCTGTTAGTATAGGCATCTCATCCTATCTCTGCTCAGCCTAGTCCTCTGCTTCTTAACTCCTCTTTCTGCCCTGTGGGTCACAGCCAATCCAGTTCCAACAGCTTCTCTGACTGACTGTCTGACTGTCTGAGTGGTTACAATGCTAAACAGAGAGTTTTGGGGCTATGAAAGGTTGGATATGAGTTCTAGATCAGTGCCCGGTATTTGTTCTATTCCGTATTCTGATTTTATACATGTGTGTGAGTCTTTGCCCTGCGAAAGAGGGGAGTGGAGGGGAAAGGGGAGGTCTATGCATTTGTAATGAGAGTCAGGCTAGTGGGCCTGTAACCATTAACACCTTATAGAGAGACAACAACACTATCAGAGAGAGAGCAGGGGAGAGGGATAGAGAGGGGGAGTGGAGAGAGGGGGATAAAGAGGTAGAAAGATTGATGCAGAGTGAAGGACAGAAGGTATGAAAGGGGGATAGAGAATGATGGAGAGAGGGGAATCAGGAAGAGAATGTCAAGAGGGGTACGGGGAGATGGTTGAGAAAGGGTCAAGAGGGGTAATGGGGAGATGGGTGGAGAAAGGGTCAAGAGGGGGATAGAGAGAGCGATGATAGTGATTGAGAGGAGTGGAGGTGATGGAGCTTGTAGTGGAGACAGAGAGAGAGGTTTGTTTGGTCTTTCTGCGCTTTGGCGTGGAGAAACCTGTAGTGGACAAAGCTGGCAGCTGTCACTCAAACAGACTGACAGACTGACAGACAGGGTGGAGTGAATGTCAAGAAACAAAATGTCATTAACTCATAAGCTTGTCTGACAATACACACACATACCTTAAAACACTAATAAAAATGCTCTCACCACCACACACACCCACGCAATACACCCACGCATATTCACACACACACACACACACAATTAAGAACTCCAGTGGCCTGACAGGGTCTCCAGTCAGCAGATTGTCATTTAGCAAGCGGGGTAGCAGTATGTGTGTGAGTGTGTGTGTGTGTGTGTGTGTGTGTGTGTGTGTGTGTGGGGAAGGTATGTCATCGATCCTCAGAATAAATGCACTCGCAGTGACAGGGCCCAAACGAGACCACACATACTGACAGTGTATTGCTTTGTTTTACAGAGACAAGAGAGGACCGCACTAAGAGACTGTTCAGACACTACACTGTGGGATCTTACGACAACCTCTCCTCATACAGGTAAGACGTGCATACACACACACTATGTGATGTGATGCTACTTCCATCTAGTGGTGAGACAGTGTCAGTGCATTCTGCTTGCATGAGTCCTACTCTCAACCCAGGCCTCGTACAAAACTCCCATCACTGAAACATTCCCTTTGTGTATGCGTGTGGATGAGTCTCTCTCCCTCTCGTCATTTGTCCCCCTCTCTTTGAAATGTATTTTATATGACATCAATCAGTAATAAAGGAGAGTGTGAGTGCTCACTCCCATGTAAATCAGATGTACAGGCTAAGAGAGGACAGCAGAACAGTAGCTGCTATAGGACTGTGTGCTGAAGTAAATTCACTCTAAATGTCAGAGACAGCTTGTCAGGAGAGAGGTGCTTTTTATCAGAGTGTTGTTTCCCCTCACCTTTCCAGAGAGGTAGGGGGGGGAGAGAGGAAAGAGAGAGAGATGGAGAGAGAGCGTGCCTGCACGAGAGAGAGAGAGCAGTTTATGAAGAGTGTGTGAGAGCTAAAGCAGCAGAGCTGGCTCTGAATAGGATAGAATGTCAAAGCTCTTGAATGGAATATGGAATGGAGTTGTATGTGAATGGAAGTCTTTGGTATGCCACTGTGAATGGCTACTTTTAGGGTTTATGGAATGTTATTATAGGTAAGACTGTAATTACATTATTGAATATGATTGTGCTACATTGGATGCTTATTTGAAGATGAATTTATAGAATATATTTTCTAAATGCCTGAGTAGTGCTGAATATTAACAGGAGTTCATGGAATATAATTGTGAATGCAACATTAGAGAGATTGAAAGCATGGTTGGTTGAATGGAAACATAAAGCTATTCTGTAGCTATGGAGGGGAAAATTTAGAGCTGGTTGGATATGCAGGATGTAGGCTAAGAGAGGGGGAGGAGAGAAAGAGATGTTTAACTGTATTTACAAACCCCATATATATCCACACACATATTAAGCAAGTCCTCTAGTTAAATTGTATCTCTGCAACCTCTGCCCCCTGACACAGGAGAGTTTCTCAGGGGTCTCCAGGCCCTGTCAGCAGGGGCTCTGTCTACCCGGGGTAAGTGGCTGGGCAGTTGGCGTGGCTAACAGCTAACACATGACCAAACTCCAGGTCTCCCATGCCAGTGTGTGTAGTGTTCAATTCACTAACTGTATGGGCTGTCTGGTGTCAGCAGTGGGATCTGACAGTCAGTCAACAGAATATTGGTGTTGCTGAGAATGGGACATGATGCTGCCTTTTACTGTGTGGCTAGAATGTCTCTGGGAATACCTTAGTTTTTGAGCATTGAATTGTGTGGTTTGAATTGACACACACACTCAAGTGACGACACTCATTAGTAATGAGAATTTTATACACTGAAAAAAATATATAAACGCAACCTGCAACAATTTCAAAGATTTTACTGAGTTACAGTTCATATAAGGAAATCAGTCAATTGAAATACATTCATTAGGCCCTAATCTATGGATTTCACATTACCGGGAATACAGATATGCATCTGTTGGTCACAGATACCTTAATAAAAAGGTAGGGGCGTGGATCAGAAAACCAGTCAGTATCTGGTGTGACCACCATTTGCCTCATGCAGCACGACACATGTCCTTCGCATAGAGTTGATCAACCTGTTGATTGTGGCCTGTGGAATGTTGTCCTACTCCTCTTCAATGGCTGTGCGAAGTTGCTGGATATTGGTGCGAACTGGAACATGCTGTCGTACACATTGATCCAGAGCATCCCAAACATGCTCAATGGGTGACTGGTGAGCATGCAGGCCATGGAAGAACTGGGACATTTTCAGCTTCCAGGAATTGTGTACAGATCCTTGTGACATGGGGCTGTGCATTATCATGCTGAAACATGAGGTGATGGCGGTGGATGAATGGGCCTCAGGATCTCCTCACGGTATCTCTGTGCATTAAACATTGACATCAGCAAACCGCTCGCCCACACGACGCTGTCTGCCATCTGCCCGGTACAGTTGAAACCGTGATTAATCCGTGAAGAGCCCACTTCTCCAGTGTGACAGTGGCCATCGAAGGTGAGCATTTGCCCACTGAAGTCATTTACGATGCCGAACTGCAGTCAGGTCAAGACCCTGTTGAGGACAACGAGCATGCAGATGAGCTTCCCTGAGACGGTTTCTGACAGTTTGTGCAGAAATTATTTGGTTGTGCAAACCCACAGTTTCATCAGCTGTCCGTGTGGCTGGTCTGAGACGATTCCGCAGGTGAAGAAGCCGGATGTGGAGGTCCTGGGCTGGCATGGCTACACGTGGTCTGCGGTTGTGAGGCCGGCTGGACATACTGCCAAATTTGCTAAAACAAGGGTGTCAAACTCATTCCATGGAGGGCCTAGTGTCTGAGGGTTTTTGTTTTTTCCTTTCAATTAAGACCTAGACAAGCAGATGAGGGGAGTTCCTTACTAATTAGTGACCTTAATTCATCAATCAAGTACAAGGGTGGAGCGAAAACCCGCTGACACTCAGCCCTACGTGGAATGAGTTTGACACGTGCGGCTTATGGTAGAGAAATTAACATTAAATTCTCTGGCAACAGCTCAGGTGGACATTCCTGCAGTCAGCATGCCAATTGCACACTCCCTCAAAACTTGAGACATTGTGGCATTGTGTTGTGACAAAACTGCACATTTTAGAGTAGCCTTTTATGGTCTCCAGCGCAAGTGCACCTCTGTAATGATAATGCTGTTAAATAAGCTTCTTGATATGCCACACCTGTCAGATGGATGGATTATCTTGGCAAAGGAGAAATGCTCACTAACAGGGATGGAAACACATTTGTGCACAGATTTCTTTGAGAAATATGCTTTCTGTGCGTGTGGAAAAGTTCTGGGATCGTTTATTTCAGCTCATGAAACATGGGACCAACACTTTACATTTTGCGTTTATATTTTTGTTCAGTGTATTTCTCAGCAAGCACACACTCAACCTCCTCCTCTTCTTCCTGAATGGGAGAGGCTGAGTCCTCTGTTTCCTTGGAATTTCAGATATTAGGAGGGAACACACACTGGTGATGAAAAGCTTGCATTATACACACTTACCCTGCATCTGCTAGTACCACCCTGTACACACACATACACAAGTAAGTACTGTACAGCCCCAAGAGAACCCTAAGCTAGGCTTTTAAGTTGATTGGGTAATCAGAGAAGTAGGTTCAGGTGTGTTTGTGTGTGTTTATTTGCAAGGCCATTGGGTTACTCTCTCCCTACATCGCCTCCCACTCCTCTCTGCTCCCTCTTCTCCACCCCCTTCTCTCACCTTCCATCTTTCTCATTGTCCATCTCCATCTTCTCCCATCCTTTTCTCTACCATCCCTGGCTCTCTCTCTGCTCTCTCCTTCCCCCTCTCCTTCATTCTCTCCTGTCTCTTCTCTCAGTGAGTATGTTGCAGGACTCTTACCTGCTGTCCCTCTCCTCTCTGCTCTCCAGTGATTACATCATAGAGGAGAAGAATGCTATGCTGCAGAAGAAAGAAAACGAAGGCTTCGGCTTCGTCCTGCGGGGAGCCAAAGGTAGGAAACACACCTTCACGAGTTCCGGCTTCTTGCCATCAGACGAACATGTCGGAAGGGGTAGTAGTTGATAGAGTTTGGTATAAGGGTTTTGGCATGGATGGTAGTCGGGGCACAACTATGTCTGTGCTGAGCCTGCTGGCAGGGCCAACTCCAGCCGTAAGCCCACCATTGTGAAGGAAGCCTGGAGGGTGCAGACGATGGATAGGCCAGCTCCTGGTCGTGGACCAATGTTTACCTGGCCCGCCATTGTGCAGGATACCTGGAGGGTGACGCGATGTGGCGGCAGTTTAATTGCTTTGCATGCACTGCATTACGGCCTGTTTGTCAGGCAGAAGTACAAAGGCGTGAAGAAGGATGCTGTTTAAATGCTATGAGGGTGGTTGATGAAGCAATTGGATTCAAGTGAGTGAGACTGGCTTGTGGCTAATGAAGATTGGATGCAGGTGAGCAAATTGGCATGTTACGGTTAAATGTCCATATGTGGAGTTCCTTGCAGATTGGCTGCATTCCAATATGAGTGTCTGGGCCCACTTATGGAGTGCCTGCACAAGGGGCTGCATTCCAATATGAATGTCTGTGCCCATGTATGAAGTTCTTGCTTTGGCCACATTCCAATATGAAAGTCTGACCCCATATATGGAGTTCCTGCTCTAAGGCTGCGTTCCAGTGCAGAAGAACTAGCCCATATATGGAAGTTCCTGTTGTGGATTACATATGTCCTCTGAAGCTTAAAGCTCTCCTCCTGAAACTGCGTTATAAACTAAACACACACACACACATACCTTTGTTAATTAATCAGGTGTTTTAGTGCTTGGCCACAAGACTGGAACAGACAACTTCTCTCTATATACCTCCACGACCAGCCTGGAGTGACAAACACACTTTTCACAAAATTCGACTTTATACCTTATTACTAAAGCAGGCTGTCTGAATCACTGTCACTGCTGCGTCCAAGGCCCTGCTACTATCTTCTAGGGATTCACCGATATGCATCAGTCCCCGGATCAAATGTTTAAGATATGAGTGGATGGGTCCACGAGACCCCAAACCGATCCAAATGTAGCATGCATCGGTCAGAAATCGATTAAAACGTTTGCATTATGGAGGGCGCTAGTGAGCAAGCCATGGAGTAGGTCACGTTTTTCCAAAAACCTTGCGTCATTGTGGCTAAACAACACTACTATCAGTATTGTACAGCTGGTTGCTCGGTCACTTTTGCAAGCTGGAATGTTAAATCTTTAAATCACCCAGTGAAACGTAAAAAGGTTATTTCTCATTTAATCACGTTAAAGTAGGTATCGCCTTTCTTCAAGAGACACATTTCCTCACTTTCGACCACTCTCATTTAAAAGGAGGGTGGATCGGTCAATCATATCATTCCAATTTTAATTCTAAAACTAGAGGTAGCAGCCATCTTAATTAGTAAAAACATACCGTTCGCAATGTCAAGTGTAGAGACAGACTCAGCAGAACGTTTCATTATTGTAGTAGGAAGACTGTATAATACACCTGTTATCTTGGCTAACATTTATGCACCAAACTGGGATAACAGTTCATTCTTCACAAATGTATTTTCTCGATTACCAAATATGGACACACACCACCTAATACTAGGTGGTGATATGAATTGTGTACTGTCGCCCAATCTGGATCGTAGCTCTCCTAAGGTATCATCTTCATCAAAGACAGTATCCACAATTCAGCTATTTCTTCAGACATATGGCATATCTGATGCGTGGCATTTCCGCAATCCCACAGCTAGGGAGTATTCTTTTTTCTCACCAGTTCATAAGACCTTCTCACGTATAGACTAATTTTTCCTAGACAATAGATTTCTGCCACTTATCACGGAGTGTGATTACCAAGCTATAGTCATTTCGGATCATTCTCCTCTTACTATTACATTTTAGACATTTAGCAGACGCTCTTATCCAGAGCGACTTACAGTTAAGTGAGTGCATACATTTTCATACTGGCCCCCCGTGGGAATCAAACCCATGACCCTGGCGTTGCAAACGCCATGCTCTACCAGCTGAGCTACATCCCTGCCGGCCATTCCCTCCCCTACCCTGGACAACGCTGGCTAATTGTACGCCGCCCCATGGGTCTCCCGGTCGCGGCCGGCTACAACAGAGTCTGGATTCGAACCAGGATCTCTAGTGGCACAGCTAGCACTGCGATGCAGTGCCTTACACCACTGCGCCACTCGGGAGACTATTAAACTACTTATACCAAATACACAGCCTAATTATCGCCCTTGGCGGCTTAACTCACTACTGCTATCAGAAGAAACCTTTGTTGCTTTTATATCATCTCAAATTGAGCTATTTCTCTAGCTTAATCAAACCGCTGGAATGTCTCCTACAACAGTATGGGAATCAATGAAGGCTTATCTAAGGGGCCAAATTATTTCGTACAGCGCAAGATTAAGGAAGTGCAATATTCAAAGCCTAGGGGAACTTACAAATATAATCTTGGATTTGGATATGACATATTCACTCTCTTGAGCTGCAGATTTACTAAAACAACAATTGACACTTCATGCAGAGTTTGATCTTCTTTCAACTCATCAAGCTGAAAATCTAATTAGTAAATCTCGATACAAAAATTATGAACATGGAGAGAAATCAGGGAAAATTCTAGCACACCAGCTGTGTCAGAGAACCACAAATCAAACCATACCTGAGATAACTGACGAGCTGTGTAACAAATGTATTGATCATTTAGAGGTATAGCTGCTGAATTAGAAGAACAGTTCTCTGTAGAAGAGATTGTGTTGGCAATTAAATCTATGCAGTGTGGTAAATCCCTTGGACCCGACGGATTTCCGAGCAAATTCTTTAAAAAAAATTCTGATCAACTCTCACCTCTCTTGCTTTCCATATTTGAGGAATCATTCTCCTCAAACTCTTTACCCTCAACAATGAGCATGTATTTCACTTATTCTGAAAGGGGGGGAAGAATTGCGATGTAAAGATACTTTCTAAGATGATTGCCTGCCGTTTTGAGTCAGTCCTTCCCTCGATTATCTCTACATATCTGTCACGTACGTTAAGGAACGGGACAGACCAAGGTGCAGCGTGAACGGCGAACATGTTTATTAACTAATAAACACACGAAACAGTAACCAAAACAACAAACTTAACCGTGACGGTCCAAAGGCTAACATACAAGCCTAAACATGAACATAACAAAACGCAGGCAGGAAAACTGGTTGCCTAAGTATGAACCCCAATCAGAGACAACGAGTGACAGCTGCCTCTGATTGGGAACCACACCCGGCCAAACATAGAAATACAAACCTAGAATATATTCACACCCTGACCAAACTAGCTAGAGTTCTATAGGCCAGGGCGTGACAGTACCCCTGGCTTGGTGCGAGGAGCAGGGACAGGCCGGTCCGGACTGGCGACGCGCACCACTGGCTTGGTGTGAGGAGCAGGAACAGGCTGGGCCAGACTGGCGACACGCACCACCGGCTTGGTGCGAGGAGCAGGAACAGGCCGGGCCGGACTGGCGACGCGCACCACCAGCTTGGTACGAGGAGCAGGAACAGGCCGGGCCGGACTAGCGACGCGCACCACCGGCTTGGTGCGAGGAGCAGGAACAGGCCGGGCCGGACTGGCGACGCGCAACACCGGCTTGGTGCGAGGAGCAGGAACAGGCCGGGCCGGACTGGCGACGCGCACCACCGGCTTGGTGCAAGGAGCAGGAACAGGCCGGGCTGGACTGGGAACACGCACCACTGGCTTGGTGCGGGGAGCAGGTACGGGGCGTACCGGACTGGGAACCGGCGCTGGAGGTCTATGACTGTCTCCGTCCTTTACACTCCGCGCCCCGTCCCGTGCGCGCCGTTACAGGCCGAAATGGTTGACCTTGGAGAGCTCATCCTGTGGCTCCACCTCCTTAACTGCCTTACTCTGCTCAAAACTTGCATTAGCTGAGCCTGTTTCCAAATACACTAAAAACCCCACTGTGAAACGTTCTCTAAAAATCTGGAAACAGTTCAGGCGATCATTTGGTCTCAGTGAATTTTCAACTTCTGTCCCATTATTAAAGAACCATACATTCTCTCCGTCATTATTAGACTGGGCGTTTCATATCGGGTCTGGAAAAGGGATCTCCTCACTGAACAACTTGTACATTGATATGGATTTTGTATCTTTTGTACAGTTAGTACAAAAGTTCAATATTCCTAGATGCCATTTCTTTAGATACCTGTAATTGCGTAGTTTTGTATCTTCATACTCTAGTTACTTCCCATCATGCCCACCTACCTCCCTTCTAGATTCTATTTCTAAAGTGAACCCTTATATCAAAGGGGGCATAAGCTTGATCTATACGTTATTAAACTCGCACATTCTGGATTTCCTGAACTCTCTTAAGAACCAATGGGAAGAGGATTTAGGTGAACAACTTTCAGATAAAACTTGTCAGAGTATGCTTCAGAGAATACAATCTTCATCTATATATCTAAGACATGCTGTAATTAAATTGGTCAAAGGCAAAATTATCCAAGATTAGACCAGAAATAGATCCCACTTGTGACCAATGTAAGCAGGCTCCTGCTACTTTATTACACGTTTTGGACATGCCCGAAATTGACAGATTTATGGATATCCGTTTTTGAGACGTTTTCTAAGATACTGGCGAGACCTATCGAACCTTCTGCCTTTTTTTTATTTATTATTTTTTTTTTTTTTAGGGGGGATGGATCAGCTTAATATTGCAGATAGATTGTATCTTCTATCAATGTAATTGTCTGCATCACTTCCAATCCCCCATGTTTTTTTTATTTTTTATATATATATTCCCCTTTATTACTTTTCAACCCCACCATCCTTTCCCTACTTGGAGTAAATTAGTGAACAACAACGCCCAGGCCTCTACTTCCGGTCTATACTTACTATCTACACCTTATGGACAGAGTTAATTTTACAATAATTCTATATCTATATATATATATTTATTTATTTTTTTGCTCCTGAACTTCTTCTACTCTCAACCTCTCCGATCATTTTCATGATGTCCATCCGGTTTGCTTCTAAATGCCATATCTTTCTAACTGTGCTCTTTCCCAAAAGCTCCCAACATACAACCTATATACTTATTATGGACACAGTATGCTTACATTATTAGCTATCTTTGTTATTATTTGTTGTTATTTGTTATTAGTCCCATCCTTCAACTCTATTCAATACCTCCCATCTATCTCTTAACACCATCCATATAGGATTTCTATTTGCCATATATATTTCAACCGTACTGTGATGTTTTACAAAAGTTTGAACCTTCTATTCTCATGCTTCTACAGATTGTGAATTAAAAATAAACATTTTTGCTAAAAGTATTATTATATTATTGATTGATTGACTATGACTTTTCAGATCACCCAGTAATGCTATCTGCAAGGTTAGTTCCAGGTAAATATTGCAATCCTTTAGCCATTCCTGGACCTGTGTCCAAAAACAAGCTACAAATGGACAGAACCAAAACAAATGATCTAATGATTCTATCTCTTCACAGCAAAATCTGCAGAGCTGGGAAGATTGTATCCCCCATATAAATAACATTCTATTGGTAGCAAGAATTTTATATAATAATTTAAATTGAAAGATTCTAATTTTTGAATCCGGTGTCGTTTTGCGTGTCAGTTCATAAACACTATGCCATGGGATCGGTACGTCAAAGATCTCTTCCCAACTATTTTGCAATCTATATGGGACGGCTGTCAATCCTTTGGTCCTTAAGTGAAACTGATATACTTTTTTATTTATCACAGTTTTCCTTAACCAATTATGTTCTTTAATGCAAGGCCGACAGACAAGTTCCTTACTTTCTCCCCCTTCAACTTTCCTCTTCCACTTTTGCGGTAAGGCTGCAATTATTTGGTTGTAATTCTGGGTAGAGCAGACATTTCCATATGTTTTTGTTAGCTGCATGTGCGACATAACTCCACCAGTCCTACCGATGATATCATTTACGAAGATTATACCTTTTTTAAACATTCTGTCAAAAAATAAAGGTTTTTTGTCAATTAGTATATTTGAATTTAACCACAATATTTGTTGCATTATTTGTTCTGTCGTTTCTGGAGGATTAAATTGAAATTGCAACCAACTTTCTATGGCTTGTTTTAGAAATAGTGACATTTGGGAGATTATTTCCTTTTCAAATAACTGAAAGTGAGAGGTTGTAATCTGAATAAAGAGAAAAAGGCCTTTCTTGACAGTGGGTGAGACAATCTTACTAATTTGCTTGAGAACCAGTTCGGATTTAAGTATAACTTTTGGATGACTGAAGATTTTAGTGATAGGTCTAATGCTTTAATATTTAATAATTTCTGTCCTCCGAATTCATATTCATTATATAAATATGCTCTTTTAATTTTGTCTGGCTTGCCGTTCCAAATAAAATTGAATATTTTTTTCTCATATAATTTAAAAAACTGTTTGCTAGGCGTAGGCAAGACCATAAGCAAATAGGTAAACTGGGATAATACTAAAGAGTTAATCAGGGTGATTTTTCCACAAATTGACAGGTATTTTCCTTTCCATGGTAGTAAGATCTTATCTATTTTTGCTAACTTTCTATTAAAATTTATTGAAGTGAGATCATTTATTTCCTTTGGGATATGTATTCCGAGTATATCTACATCACCATCAGACCATTTTATTGGTAAACTACATGGTAATGTAAAAATTGTATTTTTTAGTGATCCAATACGTAATATAGTACATTTGTCATAATTTGGTTTTAATCCAGAGAGGTTAGAAAATGTATCTAGATCCTCTATGAGGCTGTGGAGGGATTCTAGTTGTGGATCTAAAAGAAAACATGAATCATCTGCGTACAATGACACCTTTGTTTTTAAGCCCTGTATTTCTAATCCTCTGATATTATTATTGGATCTGATTTTAATAGCTAACATCTCGATGGCCACAATAAATAGATATGCCGATAGTGGACAACCTTGTTTCACTCCTCTTGACAGTTTAAAACTTTCTGAGAAATAGCCATTATTTACTATTTTACACCTAGGGTTACTATACATGATTTTGACCCATTTTATAAGAGATTCTCCAAAATTGAAATGCTCCAGGCATTTATATATAAATTCCAGTCGAACTTTATCAAATGCCTTTTCGAAGTCTGCTATGAATAGCAGGCCTGGTTTCCCATATGTTTCATAGTGTTCTATTGTTTCCAATACTTGCCTTATATTATCTCCAATGTATCTTCCATGTAAAAAACCTGTCTGATTAGAATGAATAATATCCGACAATACCTTTTTAATTCTATGCGCTATACATTTTGCTAGGATCTTTGCATCACAACACTGAAGTGTAAGTGGCCTCCAATTTTGTAAATGGACTGGATCTTTATATTTTCCACTTGTATCCTGTTTCAGTAATAATGAGATCAGACCTTCTTCTTGAGTGTCAGATAATCTACCATTTACATAGGAGTGGTTAAAACATGCTAATAACGGTCCTCTTAGTATATCAAAAAAGGTTTGGTATACCTCGATTGGTATGCCATCCAACCCTGGAGTTTTCCCGGACTTAAAGTCTTTAATTGCATCCAGAAGTTCCTCCTCTGTAATTTCACCTTCACATGAGTCTTTCTGTGTGGCTGTTAATTTGACATTATCAATAGAAAAAAAATCTCTACAATTAGCTTCAGTTAGAGGAGATGGAGGCGACTGAAAAGAAAACATATGCTTAAAATACTTTGTTTCTTCCTTCAAAATATCATTAGGTGAATTATGGGTGACTCCGTCAATTGTAACCAGTTTCATTAAGTTCTTTTTGGTAGCATTCCTATGTTGAAGATTAAAAAAGAATTTTGTGCATTTTTCCCCATATTCCATCCAGTTTGCTTTATTTTTATAATATATTACACTTGATCTTTCTTGAATAAGTTTTTCCATTTCTTTTTGTTTTTCCTCTAATTTATTCTGAGCCTCTATGTTACAGTTTTTATTGCCATCTATCTGTTCTGTTAGACTTTCTATTTCCTTTCTTAGTATAAACTCTTTTGACCTAAATTGCTTTTGTTTTCGAGATGAGTACTGAATTGCATGGCCTCTAAAGGCACATTTAAAGGTGTCCCATACAATAAGGGGATTCGCTGTACCTATGTTATGTTGGAAAAAGTCAGTTATAAATTCCTTTGTTCTAATTATAAATAAATTATCATCTAATAGGCTTTGATTAAATTTCCAATATCCTCGCCCACGTGGAAATTCAGTCAGAGTAATGTATATGCCTATTATATGATGGTCCGACCGCATTCTGTCCCCTATCAACACTTTTTTTACTTTTGGTGCCAACGAGAATGAGATAAGAAAGAAGTCAAGACGACTAGCTTGATTCAGTCTCCGCCATGTATATCTCACTAGATCAGCATATTTAAGCCTCCATATATCTACTAGTTCTAATGTATCCATGACATTCACAATTTCCTTAAGAGCATGTGGGTGATTGTTTGTGGTGTGATTTCCTTTTCGGTCCATTGAGCTATTTAAAACAGTATTATAATCCCCCACCATAATAATATTGTCTTGAGTTGCTTGCAGGCTTGATAATTTATTATATATATTGTCAAAGAATTGTGGATCATCATTATTTGGTCCGTAAAGGTTAATGAGCCATATCTGTTTATGGTCCAATACCATATTTAAAATAATCCATCTACCTTGCGTATCTATTTGGACAATTTGCACATTCGGATCGAAATTACTATTACTTAATATCATCACCCCTTTTGAATTTCTTTGCCCATGGGAGAAGTATATTTCCCCCCCCCATTCTTTTTTCCACACTACTTCATCTCGAATTGTTGAATGAGTTTCCTGTATACAATAGATATTATATTCCTTCTCTTTGAGCCATGTAAATATTGTTCTTCTTTTGTTATTATCAGCTAAGCCATTACAATTATAACTGGCTATACTTATTTCACCATACACCATAATGAGATACAAGTTTCAAGTCTATTTATCATTATATATGTTTGTAAATTTACCAATAAAAAATAGCGTAATGATTGGGTGTCCATATAGCTGTACCGTGATATTTGCATTGCTACGGAGTAACCCTTCAATTGTTCTCCACTAATTCCCCCGCTAAAGCCCCTCCCCATCCCAAGTTGAGCCGTCATCCCAGTGATCAGCATCCCACCCACGTCCCTCCGTATCCCTAAGGCCCCGAGAGGCCAGGACCCATCCATCGAAAACAGCACACAGTGCCACCCACAAAACAGAAGCAGGTTAACCGCCAAAAGCATTTCCAATGCTTTCACCTCTATATATATATATCTATATAACTATTATTATTTTTTAAATTATGCATATCCTATTTTCCATCATTATCAATTAATATGCGTAATAATGTCGGCAGTTCACGCATAGGATTCTAACATATAACCAGGATTGCCATTGTATTACATTTAATTCATTGACAAGCAATTATTATCCGAGCAAATAATTCCCGCGGTCCATCCCATACCCCCCCCCCAACACCCCCCCCCCCCCCCTCCCCCCCCCCCACAACAGATGCCAGACAAGCACACACGCACATACTCACATACTCCAACACACTCAACCCCCCTCCTCCACAATCCACCATAAAATCCGATACTCAACGGCTGTTATATCCCAGAGCCCAACTCGAGAAATAACTTGATCTACGAGTGCACATACAGTTAAAGCTGATTGAGAAAGCATGCAGATTGAGCAGAAATTGATAACAATGTGAGATTTGATTAATCTACTTAATCTATGTCAAGTCCTAGGTGATGGAGATCAGATCCACCCTCTTCACCTGAGACACAAACACTCTGATCCCCTGTTGTAACCATTTTCCCAAGCATCTCCATGCGGTCAGACCTTTGATTATTTTGTGCCACCTGGGCCACAATGATAAACCCCCTCTCTGATTGTCCGAGTGTGACCCCCTCCCCATGGGTTACTGCAGCCAGTGTTGCCAGCACTGCCACTACCTGGGTGGGCGTACCCCACCGGAATCCCCACCGGCTAGGTAAAAGGTCGTCAAGGTTCTCATTAGCAGCTTTGAGAATTTCCTTGTATATTATGCTCTCCCATCAAGGGGCTCTGGCTTTGTAGGACCAACCCTGCCAGGCAGGCTCAGAATCTTGAGGGGGCGGTGCTGCTCAAGTAGGTCTCTGACCGCATTTATTTCTCTGTTTAGGCTGCATATTCACAGCAGGTCCATAAAATAGATGGGAACTTCTCTTTGGTGTATGGGTCGCTCAGGTGGGTGTCCAGGTTATAGGGTTAGGGATCTTTCCATCATGATAGGACAATGAATAATTAGATTAGATGTATACTATATTTAAAAATGTATATCCCTCATCTACACAAAATTGAAAGCTCTCTCTCTCTCACTACCCCTGTTCATAGACCCCCGGTCGGCTCTGGGATATGCAACCATTTCCCCTCTCACTCACTTAACGCCGCACCTTTTCAAACACAAAAATGCACACCACATGGTTGACTGCGGAAGAAATGGGCCGAGCGTGCAAACGCACCCGCATCCACATCTGCTGCAAGGGGGAAAGGACGCCAGAGAGAACACAGGACCAACCACAACAACCATCCGCCAAAACAACAACCTCCCGCCAAAAAATCCATGTTCTAATTATTTGTATATAAAGATGTATTATTCTGCTTGTTATATCGTTTTATCCATTTATAAAATACTATACTTACTATAAAATGTTATTTAATATTACAATCCCTATCATTGCTAGTATCAGGTGCTCCAATATTTGACTCCTCTATTACAACTTTTAGAATAGCCATGGAGTTGTCTTTGTGTCTCTGAACATTTGGTTGTCAATATATAATTTATCCACCACTAGTGCAACACGTTTCCCTTTTAATCTGTTTTCCTTGAAGATTGGATACAGAACTTTGCGCCTTTCTACAATCTCCTTCGGGAACTGATCATTCATGCCTATTTTCGTGCCAGCAAGTCTTTTTCCCAGGCTTTTCACCATAGCTTTGTCCTTAAAAAAAGCAAATTTGGCAACGATTGGGCGCTCATATTTCTGTCCTCTTTTTCCGAAACGATGTACACGTTCGAGTTGGATTTTATCGACAGCCTCGAGTGGGATTTGTAGCGCTGTATGCAGGAAGTCCTTCATAATATTCTCTGTTATTTCTCCCTCCTTTTCCTGAATACCCGTAAGTACTAGATTTTCCCTCATCGATCTAGTTTGGATGTCTAGTAAGGCTTCTCTCAGAAGATTGTTCTCCTTTTTTAATTCCCTAACGTCCGTTTCCATTTTAGAGACTGTCACTTTTATTTCTTTGGTTTCTTTCTCCATTACCAAAGCTTTTTCGTCACTCATTTGAAGACTCGCTTTCAACTCTTTTACGTCTTTACTGACCAATTCTAATATGCCCAATTTGTCATTTATCGACTTCAACAGGTCGCTTTCCACACTTACCATACCCAGTGGTGAAAAGCATATATCATCTGTATCTGTCGATGAATCGCGTTTCCTTTTGGGGATCGGCTCTCCACGCTTGTCTTCAGTCATGTTTGGGTGTTGCTTGTTGTAGTAATATTTGTCGATATATTTCTCTAGCCTTATGATCTTATTTCTGTTATTATCCAGATTGAATTATATTAACTGCGAATATATGAAATGCTAATATTTAGTCTAACTTACTGATTTTGAATATTATGTTTTTATCTTGAGGTGTTTTGTACCGATTTCTATTCAATACGCCATCTTGTTTACGCGTGCCCCGCCCCTGATCTTTCGGTTACTGGCCCAATGTTGAACCTTCTGCCTTTATTGCATTGTTCGGAGTGGCACCACAGGAGGCCCCTCTAAACAGTTCTATGGGCAACATGCTGGCATTTACTACTCTTCTAGCTAGACGTCTTATACTATTTAAGTGTAAGGATCAGTTTCCTCCTACTTTTAACCATTGGATAAAGGAAGTTATGCAACATCTCAAGCTAGAGAAAATACACCACTCTGTTAAGGGATCTTCAATTACATTTTATAATATCTGGCAACCTTTCCTATCCTTTGTAGAAGACATGGACTCAGCTAATTTCACAACTCCATAAACCAACCCAAATTAGAATTTGTATCATTATTTTTACTATTTCTTTAACGTTTTGTTTTATAATATATATATATATTTTTTTACTATTTGATTATATTACTCATTGTATATCATGCCTGCTTTAAGTCTGGTTTTGGGGTGGGGCTCTGTTAGAGCATGGGGGGTTGGGGTGGGTTTGATTTGGTAGGGGATCTGTGTGTGTTCTGCCCTCTACTTGTTCTGTCTGTTATCTGTATAATCATAAAAAATGCCAAATAAAAATACCTTAAAAAAGAAAGAAAGAAAGAAAATATATTTTTACCTTCTGAAAATACCTCATCTTTTGAGACAACTGATGCATCCTCTCCTTCAGTGTCGAACTAAGCATGTAATTGCATTGACAGTCATTTATCTACAAGTAATTCTGCATGCTGAGCAACCCCAGGCAATATCAGTAGCCTAGTCAAACATCTGCACGCCTTCAGCGTTCAAATGCTTGTAAAATAGCTTGCGCAATATTAGGCTTTATTAGTTGAGGGACAACCAATGTAATTTGCTAGGTTATTGTTATCAAATGCGCTTCTGAAAATTGTGTTTTACCAGGGAAAAAGTAAGTGTACTACCGGAGACACAACTCTCATCTGGCTATAGCCTAGCTGCTGTTTGGTTATTAGCCCTACATTGGATTTTATTTCGATTGTTCAGGTTCACCATCAGCAATTGGTACACAGCAAATTCTCCAGTGTTCAATCAACACTGAGAGTGTTACATTTAATACGGGTCCACACTTTTCAGTGTTAAATTAACACACTGCTTAGTGTAAATACTTTTTTGCATATTTCCCAGAGTGCCTGGCCTTTTGAGTGAATTGTAGAGTTACCACTTATGACTGTATTTGTTAGTGACAGAAACATGTTTTTTGCAGTCATCCATTTTCAGTTCTGTGTCCTTCACCAAGTGAGATCCCAAGTGAATATGTCATCATTAAAATGTAAATCTTTAACACAATATGTATTTCATAAGGCCTTCTTTTTAGGGCCTAGTTTTACCCAGTGATTGGAAACAAAGCTTCCTGAAGCATTGAGGCTTTCCAGCCAATTGTGTTGAAAATAGGTTCATTACTCGGAGCTTCATTATCCGTTCACAATGCACATTAGTGACATCTGCTGGTCAACAATAAATAGCAACGTGATTAACATTTACATTTTAGTCATTTAGCAGACGCTCTTATCCAGAGCGACTTACAGTTAGTGAGTGCATACATTTTCATACTGGCCCCCCGTGGGAATCGAACCCACAACCCTGGCATTGCAAACGCCATGCTCTACCAACTGAGCTACACGGGGCAATTCCCTACCTTCTGGCTGTCCTGCAGTAACTCACTTTGAGGGAAGTAGCTATAGTGTAGCTAATATCAGGCCAGGGTGACAGGCAGCTAAAGCACATTTGTTGATTTTGTAGTCCGGTAAAAACTGAATGATTCTTAAGACAAGTCCCAACTTCGACAGACAAGTTTCACATTCTCACTGAAGTTTCTAGCCACAAGCATAAACTAGTTAGCTGGGGAGGGCTCGTCAGGACAACTGACTGAACCGAATCCACCCACTCAACTCTCGCTGCCCGACATACGTTATCAATTTTGGGCACAAGGTGTGTCTGTATAACCTCTCCCTGTTTATCATTGGTGAAACTATGAGCTTTGCAGCAATGCAGTCATTATATAGTGTTAATAAAATTTACCTAAGTAATACTGGTCATTTACTTGAAGAAAATTAAAGTAACTGCATGTACAAGAAGAGAAAGTTTCTTTCTTTCTCCACTGATTTTATCAAAACTTCGTGGAGCAGCAGTAAGTCATTGGCTTTAATAGCCTACAATCAGTTGGATTACCAGGTTTGCATCTTACATCATGCTTCCCTTTTTTACCTTCAAGTTTACTATCAAAAACGGAATCTATGGCATTATTTAGGATGCTTAAGAAATAAGCTTATACTATACTGTACTGAATGAAAATATAAACGCAACATGCAACAATTTCTAAGATTTTACTGAGTTACAGTTCATATAAGGAAATCAGTCAATTGAAATAAATAAATTAGGCCCTAATCTATGGATTTCACATGACAGGGAATATAGATATGCATCGGTTGGTCACAGGTACCTTAAAAAAATGTGTAGGGCCGTGGATCAGAAAACCAGCCAGTATCTGGTGTGACCACCATTTGTCTCATGCAACACGACACATCTCCTTAGCATAGAGTTGATCAGGCTGTTGATTGTGGCCTATGGAATGTTGTCCCACTCCTCTTCAATGGCTGTGCAAAGTTGCTGGATATTGGCGCGAACTGGAACACGCTGTCGTACACGTCGATCCAGAGCATCTGAAACATGCTCAATGGGTGACATGTCTGGTGAGTGTGCAGGCCATGGAAGAACTGGGACATTTTCAGCTTCCATTAATTGGGTACAGATCCTTGCGACATGGAGCCGTGCATTATCTGTCACGCCCTGACTCTGGGGACTCTTATTTGTTGAGTCAGGGTGTGATTTTCTATGTTGTATTTTCTATGTTTAGTCTAGTATGTCTAGATCTATGTTGGCCGTGTGGTTCCCAATCAGAGGCAGCTGTCGCTCGTTGTCTCTGATTGGGGACCATACTTAGGCAGCCTATTGGCACTAGTGGGTTGTGGGATCTTGTTCCGTGTAAGGTATGTTTTGTGTTCTACCTTGGACTTCACGTTTCGTTTCGTTTGTTGTTTTGTCGTGTTGTTTATTCGGTTCAAATAAACATGTACGCATATCACGCTGCGCCTTGGTCCGTCCCGTCTATGAACGAACGTGACAGAAGATCCCACCAAACGAGGACCAAGCAGCGTGTCCAGGAGCAGACAGCCTGGACCTGGGAGGAGATCCTGGACGGTAAGGGATCCTGGACTTGGGAGGAGATTCAGGCTGGGATGGATCGCCGTCCTTGGGAGGAGACAGTGGAGGCCCGGTATAGAGAGGAGAAACGGCGGCAACAGTGCCGACGACGGAGACCCGAGAGGCAACCCCAAGAAAAAATTTGGGGGGGGCACACGGTGTGGACGATGAGGCAGCAGGAGGCCGTTAAAGGGCGGGTCTGCAGGTTAGGAGAGGAGGCCACCATGTTACGGGGGCTATTGGTTCAGAGGGAGCAGGAGTTATTCGGTCAGAGGGAGACGCTACAGGAGGCTAAAAGGGAGAAGGAAAGTTTAGAGGCACGGCGAGAGGAGCTGGTTAGGCAGCAGAAGGAGCAGGGGTTAATAAAGGAACACAGTCCCGCTCCTCCCACCAAGCAAGTGGTGCGTGTCGCCAGTCCGGTCCGGCCCGTTCCTGCTCCCCGCACTAAGCCAGTGGGGCATGTTCCCAGTACGGCCCGACCCGTTCCTGCTCCTCGCACCAAGCCAGTGGTGTGCGTCGCCAGCCCGGCCCGGCCTGTTCCTGCCCCTCGCACCAAGCCAGTGGTGCGTGTCGCCAGCCCGGTCCGGCCTGTTCCTGCCCCTCGCACCAAGCCAGTGGTGCGCGTCGCCAGCCCGGCCCGGCCTGTTCCTGACCCTCGCCCCAAGCCAGTGGTGCGTGTGTCCAGTCCGGCACGGCCCGTGCCTGTTCCACCGGTGCCTGGTCTGGCACCGGTCAGCTGCTCCACTCCGGAGCCAGAGCAGTCTGCTCCACCGGTGCCCAGTTCAGCTCCGGTCAGCTGCTCCACTCCGGAGCAGTCCGCTCCACCGGTGCCTGATCCAGCTCCGGTCAGCTGCTCCAGTCCGGAGCCAGAGCAGTCCACTCCACCGGGGTCTAGTCCAGCTCCGGTCAGCGGCTCCACTCTGGAGCCAGAGCAGTCCGCTCCACCAGTGCCTGATCCAGCTCCAGTCAGCGGCTCCACTCCGGAGCCAGAGCAGTCCGCTCCACCGGGGTCCAGTCCAGATCCGGTCTGCGGCTCCACTCCGGAGCCAGAGCAGTCCGCTCCACCGTTGCCCAGTCCAACTCCGGTCAGCGGCTCCAGTCAGGAGCCTGAGTAGTCCGCTCCACCAGTGCCCGGTCCAGCTCCGATCAGCGGCTCCAGTCCAGACCCAGACGTCAGCCCCTCTCCAGGTTCGGGGTCTCCCACACCAGGGTCCAGACAGGGCTTGGAGTATTGTGGGAGGAAGGAGAGGGGAAGCAGCGCGCCGAGGTCCAGACCAGACCAGGGGCATAACAGGGAGGCGGAGAATAGGTGGTTGTCACGCCCGGAGCCTGATCCGCCTCATAGGCTCTGGGGACTCTTATTTGTTGAGTCAGGGTGTGATTTTCTATGTTGTATTTTCTATGTTTAGTCTAGTATGTCTAGATCTATGTTGGCCGTGTGGTTCCCAATCAGAGGCAGCTGTCGCTCGTTGTCTCTGATTGGGGACCATACTTAGGCAGCCTATTGGCACTAGTGGGTTGTGGGATCTTGTTCCGTGTAAGGTATGTTTTGTGTTCTACCTTGGACTTCACGTTTTGTTTCGTTTGTTGTTTTGTCGTGTTGTTTATTCGGTTCAAAGAAACATGTACGCATATCACGCTGCGCCTTGGTCCGTCCCGTCTATGAACGAACGTGACATTATCATGCTGAAACATGAGGTGATGGTGGCAGATAAATGTCACGACAATGGGCCTCAGGATCTCGTCACGGTATCTCTGTGCATTCAAATAGACATCGATAAAATGCAATTATGTTCATTGTCTGTAGCTTATGCCTGCCCATACCATAACCCCACAGCCACCATGGGGCACTCTGTTCACAAAGTTGACATTAGCAAACCGCTCGCCCACACGACGCCATACACGTGGTCTGCGGTCGTGAGGCCGGTTGGACGTAACGCCAAATTCTCTAAAACGATGTTGGAACCAGCTTATGGTAGCGAAATGAACATTACATTCTCTGGCAACAGCTCTGGTGGACATACCTGCAGTCAGCATGCCAATTGCATGCTGCCTCAAAACTTGAGACATCTGTGGCATTATGTTGTGTGACATAAATGCACATTTTAGAGTGGCCTTTTATTGTCCCCAGCACAAGGTGCACCTGTGTAATGGATAAGGAAATTAGAAATGCTCACTAACAGGGATGTAAACAAATTTGTACACACATTTTGAGAGAAATAAGCTTTTTTTGCGTATGGAAAATTTCTGTGATGTTTTATTTCAGCTCATGAAACATGGGACCAACACTTTACATGTTGCATTTATGTCTTTGTTCAGTGTAAATAAAACAAATTATTTGAACAACAGTGCAGAAAGTGTGGTTGGTGTTTGAAAGCAGCTTAATCGAAGAAAGCACTGTAACCACAGCAAAATCGGTGAGATCTCGCATTTAGCAACACACGGTTTGAAAAAGCAAGTGATCAAGCGAAGCTTCAGAAGTCATTGATGACGTACTTCTGATAAAGTGATACACGCATCGGCACACTGCTTCAAAGTTAGCTGCTATAAAACGTAACATCAATTTGTAAGTCGCTCTGGATAAGAGCGTCTGCTAAATTACGTAAATGTAAAATGTAAAATCACTAGTTATATCCTATTACAGTGGCCTGAAACTCATGGTTTACAGGCAACATCAGGCCTGCAAGTCACATTATGCTGGCTTGCAAAGTGATGTGTAATTCCTATTGGAATCCAGCCGGAGTGGGGATATATAACATTATTTAAAAAATTGTCACCCACAACCTGCATTCAGAATGATTGTCAGGTTGGGTAGACTATGAGACTACATAAAGTATTAAAACCATAAACAAATTGGATTCGTTTAGAAAAGTGTATGTTATTTATATTTGAGTAGCATAAGATTAATTAATCAATCAATGTTCATGAAAAAACATATATAATGAAACAAACAATTCTAAAAATCAACCTGCAATAGAGCATTCTGGGAAATGTGATAATGATGGGCATGGTTTTGGGTTAACACTGGTTATTAACACCAACACCGGGGTTCTGTTACACCAATGAGTGTTAATTTAACAAGTACGGAGTTAATTTAACACCTGAATCGACACTAGAAATGTTACACTGAAAAATCAACACATGCCAATTTGCTGTGTAGTTTTTCTTTAAACAATCAGTGTATAGGGTCATTTTTAGATATACAGGGTAATGTTGATCATTTCATAACGAAGACAGCAATCACTTTCACGGTCGAAACCATTTTAAGACGGGGGTGAAATCCAAAGTTGTGCTATATATTCATTGGCTATGTCATAGCAAATTTATATAACCCTTTTAATCTGCAAAAATTACAAGTTAATTAGTGGGTGATTGGTGATTTCAGATCAAAAGTGGGTGGACAAAAAAAATACATTCCTCCCCCTAATCTGATAGTGGGGTGGTGCAGTGCCTTGCAAAAGTATTCAACCCCCTTGGCGTTTTTCCTATTTTGTTGCATTACAACCTGTAATTTAAATGGATTTTTATTTGGATTTCATGTAATGGACATACACAAAATAGTCCAAATTGGTGAAGTGAAATGAAAGAAATTACTTGTTTCAAAGAATTCTAAAAAATAAATAATGGAAAAGTGGTGCCAGCAAATTTATTCACCCCCTTTGCTATGAAGCCCCTAAATAAGATATGGTGCAACCAATTACCTTCAGAAGTCAAATAATTAGTTAAATAAAGTCCAACTATGTGCCATCTAAGTGTCAAATAATCTGTCACATGATCTCAGTATACAGTTGAAGTCGGACGTTTACATACACCTTAGCCAAATACATTTAAACTCAGTTTTTTACAATTCCTGACATTTAGTCCTAGTAAAAATTCCCTGTATTAGGTCAGTTAGTTTCTCTATAGAATGATTTATTTCAGCTTTTATTTATTTCATCACATTCCCAGTGGGTCAGAAGTTTACATACACTCAATTAGTATATGGTAGCATTGCCTTTAAATTGTTTAACTTGGGTCAAACGTTTCGGGTAGCCTTCCACAAGCTTCCCACAATAAATTGGGTGAATTTTGGCCCATTCCTCCTGACAGAGCTGGTGTAACTGAGTCAGGTTTGTAGGCCTCCTTGCTCGCACATGCTTTTTCAGTTCTGCCCACACATTTTCTATAGGATTGAGGTCAGGGCTTTGTGATGGCCACTCCAATACCATTTTTCCACAACTTTGGAAGTATGCTTGGGGTCATTGTCCATTTGGAAGACCCATTTGCGACCAAGCTTTAACTTCCTGACTGATATCTTCAGATGTTGCTTCAATATATCCACATAATTTTCCTTCCTCATGACGCCATCTATTTTGTGAAGTGCACCAGTCCCTCCTGCCGCAAAGCACCCCCACAGCATGATGCTGCCACCCCGTGCTTCACGGTTGGGATGGTGTTCTTCGGCTTGCAACAACCCCCTTTTTCCTCCAAACATAACGATGGTCATTATGGCCAAACAGTTCTATTTTTGTTTCATCAGACCAGAGGACATATCTCCAAAAAGTACAATCTTTGTCCCCATGTGCAGTTGCAAAACGTAGTCTGGCTTTTTTATGGCAGTTTTGGAGCAGTGGCTTCTTCCTTGCTGAGCAGCCTTTCAGGTTATGTCGATATAGGACTCGTTTTACTGTGGATATAGATACTTTTGTACCTGTTTCCTCCAGAATCTTCACAAGGTCCTTTGCTGTTGTTGTGGGATTGATCTGCACTTTTCGCACCAAAGTACGTTCATCTCTAGGAGACAGAACACGTCTCCTTCCTGAGCGGTATGATGGCTGCGTGGTCCCATGGTGTTTATACTTGCGTACTATTGTTTGTACAGATGAGCGTGGTACCTTCAGGCGTTTGGAAATTGCTCCCAAGGATGAACCAGATTTGTGGAGGTCTACACATTTTTTTCTGAGGTCTTGGCTGATTTCTTTTGATTTTCCCATGATGTCAAGCAAAGAGGCACTGAGTTTGAAGGTAGGCCTTGAAATACTTCCACAGGTACACCTCTAATTGACTAAAATGATGTCAATTAGCCTATCAGAAGCTTCTAAAGCCCTGACATAATTTTCTGGAATTTTCTAAGCTGTTTAAAGGCACAGTCAACTTAGTGTATGTAAACGTTTGACCCACTGGAATTGTGATACAGTGAATTATAAGTGAAATAATCTGTCTGTAAACAATTGTTGGAAAAATTACTTGTGTCATGCACAAAGTAGATGTCCTAACCGACTTGCCAAAACTATAGTTTGGTTGAAAAACCAGTTTTAATGACTCCAACGTAAGTGTATGTAAACTTCCGACTTCAACTGTATATACACCTGTTCTGAAAGGCCCCAGAGTCTGCAACACCACTAAGCAAGGGGCACCACCAAGCAAGCGGCACCATGAAGACCAAGGAGCTCTTCAAACAGGTCAGGGACAAAGTTGTGGAGAAGTACAGATCAGGTTTGGGTTATAAAAATATATCCGAAACTTTGAACAGCCCACGGAGCACCATTATATCCATTATTAAAAAATTGAAAGAATATGGCACCAAAACAAACCTGCCAAGATAGGGCCGCCCAACAAAACTCACGGACCAGGCAAGGAGGGCATTAATCAGAGAGGCAACAAAGAGACCAAAGATAACCCTGAAGGAGCTGCAAAGCTCTACAGCGGAGATTGGAGTATCTGTCCATAGGACCACTTTAAGCCGTACACTCCACAGAGCTGGGCTTTAAGGAAGAGTGGTCAGAAAAAAAGCCATTGCTTAAAGAAAAAAATAAGCAAACACCTTTGGTGTTCGCCAAAAGGCATGTGGGTACTCTGGTCAAATGAGACTAAAATGTAGCTTTGGGTTTGCGCTATGTCTGGCGCAAACCCAACACCTCTCATCACCCCGAGAACACCATCCCCACAGTGAAGCATGGTGGTGGCAGCATCATGCTGTGGGGATGTTTTTCATCGGCAGGGACTGGGAAACAGGTCAGAATTGAAGGAATGACGGATGGCTCTAAATACAGGGAAATCCTTGAGGGAAACCTGTTTCAGTCTTCCAGAGATTTGAGACTGGGACAGAGGTTCACCTTCCAGCAGGATAATGACCCTAAGCATACTGCTAAAGCAACACTTGAGTGGTTTAAGGGGAAACATTTAAATGTCTTGGAATGGCCTAGTGAAAGCCCTCAATCCAATTGAGAATCTGTGGTATGACTTAAAGATTGCTGTACACCAGCGGAACCCATCCAACTTGAAGGAGCTGGAGCAGTTTTGACTTGAAGAATGGGCCAAAATCCCAGTGGCTAGATGTGCCAAGCTTATAGAGACATACCCCAAGATACTTGCTGCTGTAATTGTTGCAAAAGATGGCTCTACAAAGTATTGACTTTGGGGGGGTGAATATAAAAAATATTTTGCATCTTCAAAGTGGTAGGCATGTTGTGTAAATCAAATGATACAAACTCCCCAAAAATCCATTTGAATTCCAGGTTGTAAGGCAACAAAATAGGAAAAATGCCAAGGGGGGTGAATCCTTTCGGCAAGCCACTGTAGATGCCCAGTCTCCCTTATGGCTCAGCTCTGGTGCATACATACAACATAGGCATACTGTACACATTTACAAACACACACACACACACACACACACACACACACACACACACACACACACATACACAGAAGTCAGCTCAGACAGATCCAGCTCAGAGGCCCAGCACTTGAGCTCCATCAGCAGCAGATTTTAATTTAGAATGGAAAATGAATGTGTTTATGCAACAAATGTTAATGCATCGCATCAAACCGAAACGGATCGATTCGTTCCTCTTATCAAACCGAATCGCACCGAATCGTTTCATTCTAAAGCGTATCGTTCCTGTATCATATCGGAGCCCATGTATCTATATAGATACGTATCGGATCGTCTTGAAAGGGAAAGATGCACATCTTCATATCATAGGCTGTCTGTGTGTGTCATTTCAGGTCTGTGAGCCCCTCTGTAGGTGTTCTGAGTGTGGGTTATGAGATGTGGTGGGTTGATGTGAGGAGTTCTATACCCCATCACTGAGTCACATAGTATGACTAATTCTCTATGAGTCAACACGACTGTCTTTGGTCAATACCACATTGTCCTCTCTCTCTCTCTCTCTCCTCTCTCTCTCTCTCTCTCTCCCTTCTCTCTCCCTCTCTCTCTCCTCTTCCCTCTCTCTCTCCTCTCTCTCTCTCCTCTCTCCTCTCCCTCTCCTCGATCTCCTCTCATCTCTCTCTCTCTCTCTCTCTCTCTCTCGCTATCTGTGTGTGTGTGTGTGTGTGTGTGCGTGCGTGTGTGTCTAGCCCCTGTGGTGGCGTAATCCTAGGATGAGCTGTCAGTTGACTACCCCATCTGTTCCTCACACATGGTGTTCAGGGAGACAGAAATTAGTATCTTTCGCTCAATTTTCTCCATCTTCCTTTTTCCTCATTCACTGTTTGTTCTATTCCACTTTTTTTCTGTCTTTAATTCTTTTTTTATTCCTCTCTCAGCTTTACTATTAGTCATTATCAGCTACTACTTTACCTCCATACATACACACACACACACACTTTGCACTACTGCACGTGCCAGCTCCCCATGCTGGTTACTATAGCAACCCCTTGCGGGCACCTTGCCGGGAGTCTGAGTGTGTTTTCTCCTCCTCCATCTCAAGCAGACATTTCCTCCCCTACGTATGTATTTGGACAGTGATGCTAAAATGTTACATTTCGCTCTATGCTCCAGCATTTTGGATTTGAGATCAAATGTTTCATACGAGGTGACAGTACACAATGTCACCTTCTTTTTAGGCGATTTTCATACATATCTGATTTACCGTTTAGAAATGAAAGCACTTTATAGATCTAGTCCTCCCATTTCAAGTTTGAAGTTTTAATGTCATGTGCACAAGTACAGTGAAATGCCTTTTTTGCAAGCTCTAAACCAAATAATGCAGTAATCAATCACAAAATAGCAAAAATTTGACTATGGCTTTCCTCCTGATCAACGAACAGTAAAGCCAGGAGATGTCCGTCTGTCCGTCCCTCCCTAGTTCCTCCCTATATCCTCCTTAGCAATATTTCAATTTGTATGCTCTTTTTCTCCTCCTTTTCCAATTTCTATCACTCAACTTCCCCCCCTCTACGTGTACCCCCCCCCCTCTCTTCCACTCCTCTTCTTCTCCCTCTTCCTCCATTTTCCCTAGTGCCTCAGATAAAACTGAATGGATGACCTTTCCTAGTGGGGTCACGTCCCACACACACACACAGACACACACACATACTGCAGGTACCTCTGGGAGCTCTCCTGTGTAAGTGGTATAGTTGGACTCAGTCCAGGATTAAATGGAGGGTGTGAAGTGCACAGTAGCTCTATCCTCAGGCAGAGGCACACTCAGCTAACGAGTCAGGAGTGTGCTTGCATGCGTTTCTGATATTTATTTTTGTGTCTGAGTGTGTGTGTGTCTGTCTTATGTGCATTTGTATGTGTGTGTGTGTGTGTGTGTGTGTGTAAACTGATTTTCAGTGTGAGAGCGATTTAAAGTAAAATGGTTGAGTGAAAGGCTCTTTCCCTGTCACACCACCTCACCTCTCACTGTTACTAATACACTATAGAACACACTATAGAGTCCATCTCACCTCACTCTATTATAAACACACACACACACATTCACTTGCAGGCTGCTGTTTGTATCTAACTCTATGTGTACCTCAGATGGCAGATGTGCGTGGGTTTTTCTTTATACAGTATGTACACTATATATACAAAAGTATGGGGACACCCCTTCAAATTAGTGGATTCGGCTATTTCAGCCGCACCCGTTGCTGACAGGTGTATAAAATTGAGCACACCGCCATTGCAATCTCCATAGACAAACATTGGCAGTAGAATTACCTTACTGAAGAGCTCAGTCACTTTCAACGTGGCACCGTCATAGGATGCCACTTTTCCAACAAGTCAGTTCGTAACATTTCTGCCCTGCTAGAGCTGCCCCAGTCAACTGTACATGCTGATGCTGTTATTGTGAAGAGGAAACATCTAGGATCAGCAACGGCTCAGCTGCAAAGTGGTAGACCACACAAGCGGCGAGTGCTGAAGCGCGAAGCGCGTAAAAATCGTTTGTCCTCAGTTGCAACACTCACTACCGAGTTCCAAACTGCCTCTGAAAGCAACGTCAGAACAAGAACTGTTCGTTGGGAGCTTCATGAAATGGGTTTCCATGGCCGAGCAGCCGCACACAAGCCTAAGATCACCATGCGCAATACCAAGAACCGGCTGGAGTGGTGTAAAGCTCGCCACAATTGGACTCTGGAGCAGTGGAAACTCGTTCTCTGGAGTGATGAATCATGCTTCACCATCTGGAAGTCCGATGGATGAATCTGGGTTTGGCGGATGACAGGAGAATGCTGCCTGTTCATTTTTACATTTACATTTTAGTCATTTAGCGGACGCTCTTATCCAGAGCGACTTACAGGAGCAATTAGGGTTAAGTGCCTTGCTCAAGGGCACATTAACGTCATTTAGCAGACGCTCTTAGCCAGAGCGACTCGCAAATTGGTGCGTTCACCCTGTAGCCAGTGGGATAACCACTTTACAATTTGGGGGGGGGGGGGGGGGGTTAGAAGGAACACTTTATCCTATCCCAGGTATTCCTTAAAGAGGTGGGGTTTCAAATGTCTCCGGAAGGTGGTGAGTGACTCCGCTGTCCTGGCGTCGTGAGGGAGCTTGTTCCACCATTGGGGTGCCAGAGCAGCGAACAGTTTTGACTGGGCTGAGCGGGAGCTATGCTTCCGCAGAGGAAGGGGAGCCAGCAGGCCAATGCATAGTGCCAAGTGTACATTTTGGTGGAGAAGGAATAATGGTCTGGGGCTGTTTTTCATGGTTCGGGCTACGCCCCTTAGTTCCAGTGAAGGGAAATCTTAACGCTACAGCAGACAATGACATTCTAGACGATTCTGTGCTTCCAACTTTGTTGCAACAGTTTGGGGAAGGCCCATTCCTGTTTCAGCATGACAATACCCCCCGTGCACAAAGCAAGGTCCATAAAGAAATGGTTTGTCGAGATCGGTGTGGAAGAACTTGACTGACCTGCACAGAGCCCTTACCTCAACCCCATCGAACACCTTTGGGATGAATTGGAACGCTGACTGCGAGCCAGGCCTAATCACCCAACATAAGTGCCCGACCTCACTGCAGCAATGTCCCTGCAGCAATGTTACAATATCTAGTGGAAAGCCTTCCCGTAAGAGTGGAGGCTGTTATAGCAGCAAAGGGGGGGCCAACTCCATATTAATGCCCATGATTTTGGATTGAGATGTTCGACGAGCAGGTGTCCACATACTTTTGGCCATGTAGTGTATCTCTCATGATTCAGTGAGTATACCTTGTGGAATATTCAGAGATTAATATGTGTGTTTCTTGTGTTGAAACATCTGTCCATTTCTGTATCTAAATCAAGTCATCCTCTCTGTGTGTTCCCAGCTGAGACACCCATTGAGGAGTTCACCCCAACACCAGCGTTCCCTGCCCTCCAGTACCTGGAGTCTGTTGACGTGGAGGGAGTGGCCTGGAGGGCAGGGCTTAGGACAGGAGACTTCCTCATAGAGGTAACCACACCCTCTCTCTTCTCCAACCCCATTGACTAGGCCCACTGCCTCTCAGCTCTCTGTCTGACCTCCAGCCGTGTGTGTGTGTGCATGCGGGTTTGTGTGTTCCAGGTGCACGGGGTGAACGTGGTGAAGGTGGGCCATAAGCAGGTGGTGTCTCTGATCAGACAGGGGGGCAACAGCCTGCTGATGAAGGTGGTCTCTGTCACACGCAAACCTGAGTCTGAGGAGGTGGTCCGCAAGAAAGGTGAGCAATGTGTCATATATTGAGTATCTATCACAGGAGGTTGGTGGCACCTTAATTGGGGAGAACGGGCTTGTGGTAATGACTGGAGCGAAATAGGTGGAATGGTATCAAACACATGGTTTCCAGGTGTTTGATGCCATTCCATTTGCTCTGTTCCGGACATTATTATGAGCCATTCTCCCCTTAGCAGCCTCCTGTGGTATCTATGCTCCTGTGATGGTATCATGTATACAGTATATGGTCTTCTTGAGGGGACAGGGTGAAAAGTGGAACTTCCACTACAGCCTGTCCCTCATTGCAGATGTAATCTACTCCTTCTCCAGTCCAGTGTGCAATTATTAGCTGCTCCATGTATTTGATCTTTGGCATATAGCCATTTGATTCTTAAATGACAACTTCTGTATTAGTATGTTGTCATGGATATGGAAGTTGACACTAGCTGTATGGAAGTATTTGTGAAGGATCTGTATGTTCCCATCACCAAGGTGATTTCACCCCGTTGCCACACTGTAAATTCATGTGGTTTCCATGTCAACGGCATCTCATCATCCCTCTGCTAAACATCTCCCACTCACTCCTGCTACTATGACCTCGGGAAAGTGTGTGTGTGTGTGTGTGTGCGCGTGTGCGTGTGCATGTGCATGTGCATGTGTGTATTTGTGTGTGTGTCTCCTTGGGTGGGAGAGACAGAGACAGATAGCTTTGACCTACTTCCATCTGGACAGTAGATAGCTGATCTTAGTGCCAGTCTGCACCCCCCCCCCCCCCCCCCCCCCTCCTCTACACACACATGCATGCATGAGAGAGAGATATAAATGAAAGAGAGCAGCAGAGAGGTAGCTGTGATATGGAGGTCTTTGAGTAGTCAGTCAGTGATTGGTGATCTGTGAAACGTCTAGTCATTACAAATATATACGAGTCCTCTTGTCACTAGAGACAATACACTGTTCCATGTGGAACTGAACATGACAGACCTGCTTTGCTGTTTTTTGCTGTTTTTTAAGGACGATTTGCATATCCAGCATGTTATTTTTTCCAAGAGGTTCTACTTTTTCACTAGAAATGTGGAATATTTCTCCTTCTAGTAATGCTTTTGCAGGTGAGTGAACTAATCTGATCCTATACAGTGGCAACAGTATTAAACCTGAGTATACTGAGCTGATAGCACAGGAGGTTGGTGGCACCGTAATTGGGGAAGATGGGCTCGTGGTAATGTTTGGAGCGGAATAAGTGGAATGGTATCAAATACATCAAACACATGGAAACCATGTGTTTGATTCCATTCCATTTACTCCGTTCCAGACATTATTATGACCCATCCTCCTCTCAGTAGCCTCCACTGGCTGATAGTCCATTCATCCAGCTAATTTGGAGAAATGAGTTGGTTATGAAGACGTTCATCTTGGTCATGATGAAGTCCCCACATTCTCTCATCACACTAGAGGGCTCAGGTCAGGAGTTTACAACGTGTGTTGGGGGGTGAGACGGGGCAATGGACAGGGCAGAGACAGTAGACAGATCCGAGAGGTGTAACCACCCCATGGGGTTCTACTGAGCTGGCTTTGCTCTGCCTGGCTGTTCTGTGATGTTCTAAGCTGTTCTAAGTTGTGTTCAATACTCTAACAGGCAGCACTTCTGCTCAAAGGGGACCTTCTCTGCAATTTGTAACTCTGCAGAAACACTCTCACACACTCTCGCAATCCCCCCCCCCCCCCCCCGTTCTCTATCTATCTCTCTCAAACACACACACACACTCTCACACACAACCCTCTGCGTCAAAACTTGCTACCGCCATGGTAACCATAGCAACCATGCTGCGCTTGAATTAAGCATTGCAATACACTTTCTCTAGCGCTCTCTCTATCGCTCTCTTTCTTTCTTTCTCTCTCTCCATACTTTACATGAATATGCTGACCGGTGATGAAGTGATACGGTATGGACTAGATTAGATCCAGATCTATAGCTGCTCAGTGTAGAAGCGTAGCCAGGCTGTGGTGGCATCCAGATGTTCTGCTGATCTGTTTTTGCTCTCCACAGTGGTGCATTGAAACGGGACTGGCTGGTCGATAGTATATTGAATGAGGTTTTGTGTTGTATTGTGCAAAGACTGGAAGGTATGCTTCTGTATTTTAACACAGATGATACAGTGTGTTGAGTGGTGGGCTGCAGCATGGATTTCATAGGCTGTGTGGTGTGATTCTGTGCTGGTGTATTTTAGCCTGTGATCATGTGTAGCTGCACATGCCATGTAGCACAGTGGGAGGTAATGCAATGTAGTAGTTGACGCTGTGATGGCATGGGCTACCTGTTTTGAGGGATTGTATTGTACATTTTCTGCTGTTATTTGGATGTGGACTGGATAGTGTAGTAATAATATGTAGGTGTTTGGTAGTGGTTGTGGACTGGATAGTGTAGTAATAATATGTAGGTGTTTGGTAGTGGTTGTGGACTGGATAGTGTAGTAATAATATGTAGGTGTTTGGTAGTGGTTGTGGACTGGCGCAGCACTAATAGTGAGCTGATCTGTAATAGTTAGTAGGCTATACAAGGATCCTCAGGGTTTTTGGATGCTAGCGGAGATGAGTGTATACCGACTGGTGTGAGTGGTGTGCTGGTAGTGTATCAAGGGATTTCTGAGCTGTGGGATCTACAATTTTTTCCTCTGCCAAGGCCGCATGGCACAATGTACTCCCCACCGAAGTGTTCAGTGGGGTGGTGAGCGTGAGTGTGTTTGTGTGTGTGTGTGTGACGGAGGGAAAGTGAGAGGTACGATGAAGAAGAATGTGTCTACCCGCAGCCTGAACAAGTCGTCCAGCTTTCCGCAGGCTGACCAGGGAAAGACTGTGAAGACAGGATGGAGCGTCCGGCTGGGCCACACTCGCAGGGCGCTGAGCAGCAGGGCCAAGGGGCCTTCCTCCTCACCCTCAACATCATCATCTTCACCCTGCCTTTTCTCCACAGCTCCCCCGCCACCCAAAAGAGCCCCCAGCACCACCTTGACGCTGCGCTCCAAGTCCATGACCACCGAACTGGAGGAACTGGGTGAGTGTGAGAACACAGATGCAAACATTCACACACATATGTCCCCACTCTCTCTGTCTCTCTCTCTCTCTCTCTCTCTCTCTCTCTCTCTCTCTCTCTCTCTCTCTCTCCCTGTCTCTCTCTCTCTCTCTCTCTCTGTCTCTCTCTCGCTCTCTGTCTCTGTCTTTCTGTCTCTGTTTCTCGCTGTCTCTCTCTCTCTCATTCTCTCTCTCTCTCTCTCTCTCTCTCTTCTCTCTGTCTTTCTCTCGCTCTCTGTCTCTGTGTCTTTCTGTCTCTCTCTCTCTCTCTCTCTCCCTCTCTCTCTCTCTCGCTCTCTGTCTCTGTGTCTTTCTGTCTCTCTCTCTCTCTGTCTCTGTGTCTTTCTCTCTCTCTCTCTCTCGGTCTCTCTCTCTCTCTCTCTCTCTCTCTCTCTCTCTCTCTCTCTCTCTCTCTCTCTGTGTGTCTTTCTGTCTCTGTCTCTGTCTCTGTCTCTCTCTCTCTCTCTGTCTCTGTGTCTTTTTGTCTCTCAATTCAATTCAATTTCAATTTAAGGGCTTTATTGGCATGGGAAACGTATGTTTACATTGCAAAGCAAGTGAAGTAGATAGTAAACAAAAGTCAAAAGTACAAATGGGAAAATAAATAAACATAAATATGGGTTGTATTTACAATGGTGTTTGTTCTTCACTGGTTGCCCTTTCTCTCTCTCTCTCTCTCTCTCTCTCTCTCTCTCTCTCTCTCTCTCTCTCTCTCTCTCTCTCTCTCTCTCTCTCTCTCTCTCTCTCTCTCTCTCTATGTCTCTCTCTCTCACTCTCTCTCTGTGTATTTATGTCGCGCTCTCTCTCTCTCTCTTTCTCTCTGTCTCTGTGTCTTTCTCTCTCTCTCTCTCTCTCTCTCTCTCTCTCTCTCTCTCTCTCTCTCTCTCTCTCTCTCTCTTTCTCTCTTTCTCTCTCTCTCTGTGTTTTTCTCTCTCTATCTCTCTCTCTATTTCTCTCTGTGTCTGTGTCTTTGTCTCTCTCTCCCCTATTCATTTAACCTTTTTCATAAAAATATGCTTCCTGCCTTATCACAACTATTTTGCTCTGACAGCATAATATTTTCTCCTTAACTCTTGACATGTCCTTTCTCTTTAACTCACTCACTCACTCACTCACTCTCTCACACACACACACACACACACATCCTGACCCACATTTTCTGTCCTCGTTGACATTATCTTTCTTTCACCAAGCTTCCGTTCGAAGGAGGAGAGGAGGTGAGTCTGTGGAGACCTGTTGAGGCATCATCACTGACACACTGTTCATTATGGATGAAGCACCGGCACGGCGTGGGCACTGAGCTCTGAGTCAGTCAGTCAGTCAGAACCTGCTCCTCGATCTTGAGGCTCCCAAAGATATGAGACTTAGATGCTATACACTGTGCCTCTGATCCAGTGGAGGCTGCTGAGGGGAGAACGGCTTATAATAATGGCTGGAACGGAGTGAATGGAATGGCATCAAACCATGTATTTGATACCATTCCACTGATTCCGCTCCAGCCATTACCACGAGCCCGTCCTCCCCAATTAAGGTGCCACCAACCTCCTGTGCTCTGATCCGACATAGTGAAGGTTTCTTTAGTTGTGTGATATGCATTGTGTAATTGTCAATTATAAATGTATTTGAACATGTGTAGGCCTGCATGGTTGTGTTGATATTGTGTGTAGATGTGATATTTTAGTTTCTAGATGTCTGATAGGGACTAGGAGCTGTGCATTGTTTGTAAACACTCACAATGTGTCATGTAGAAAGCATCTTGGTCCATACATGCTGTGCAGCTGTATTCAGACTGTGTGTTGTCTCTGTGATCCTGTACAGAAAGGCTAGATGAGATGCTAGCTTCCCAGCCCACAGAGGCCGACTACAGAGCTGCTACTGTCAAACAGAGACCTACCGGCAGGAGAATCACATCAGCAGAGATCAGTGTGAGTTCACACACACACACGTGCAGAAACACAGATGCACACTCTCTCTCTCCCACACACACACACAAACATACACATCTGAACACACATTCACACACACAGCCATTCTGAAACAGAGACCTACAAGCCGCAGAGTAATATCAGCATATACACCCTCCCACACACTCACATACCATACATACAGTTATGTATAAAATATGCATCTGAAACCTTTTTGTGTGTGTGTTGCAGTCGCTGTTTGAGAGGCAGGGCATGGCCCTACATGGTGGGCTCCACCCAGGGATGGAGAGGGCTCATATGCAGCTGCCTAGAGGGATGTCCAGGACCAAGTCATTTGGTAACACCTTTCACCTTTAGTACAGTACTCAGTCAATAACTTGACAACTGTAGCGCATCATCTCTGTATTGCTTTAGACTTTCTATCTCTCTCTGACCTTTGCCCCCTGACCTCTCCAGGTGCAACTGAGGAGGACCGACTGTCGGCTTTGGCTGGAGAACACCATTTCCCCCGGAGCTCTTCCATGACGGACAGCCTCCGAGACCACTCCAACTCCCATTCTATCCCGCCCCCTCCCCAGACTGCCCCCCCTCCTCCCCCCTCCCTCTACTACCTGGACACTGGCCCTCCTCCCGCCTTCTGCCCCCCTCCTCCCCCTGCCAGGGGTCATGGTCAGGGTCATGACCCTGGAGGTCGTTCCATCTTCAAGCCCTCCTCCCTGGACCTGGACCGGCCCTACGACCCATCGCCCCGCCAGTCCTCCCATGCCGAACGCCAGAAGAAGGCAAGGTCAATGATTATTCTTCAAGACTCCTCCCACTTACCCGTGGAGCCCACCGACATCCCCCGCCCCTCCGCCTCCGCTACACCACCCGAGCGAATCAAACGGAAAGGCCGGGTGATTGACAACCCGTACGCCAATGTGGGCCAGTTTAGTATTGGGTTGTACACACCCACCAAGCCCCAGCGCAAGAAGAGCCCTCTGGTGAAACAGCTACAGGTCGGTTAAGTTGTTTATTTCTTTATTCTGATTATTAGCTGTTACTTTAGCAAGTGAACAAAGTTTATTTTGAAGTTTACGTTTCTAATTTCTTGTCATCTCTACCCCTCCAGGTGGAGGACGCTCAGGAGAGAGCCAGCATCGCCTTGGCTGCCGCCCACTCCCGAGAGTCCTCCCCCTCAGGTCGACACACACACACCCACGGCCACACACACACCAGCCGGGCCGACTATTACCAGCAGCAGCTGATGGTGGAGCGCGAGCGTATGCGTCTCCAAGGAGAGGCCCTGCTACAGGGGAAAGGGCCGTTCGCTGCCGCTATCGCCGGCGCTGTGAAGGACCGAGAGCGCCGTCTAGAGGAGCGGAGGAAATCAACAGTCTTCCTGTCGGTGGGGACCATGGAGGGGGGGTCTGGGTCCGTCCCTGAGGCCCCCTCCTACACCACATCTCGCTCCATCGATGAGCGCATGCTCAGCAGAGAAATGGGCCAGCTGCCGCCCCCTGCCCTGGCCCTGCGCCCCTCACCTGGCGGCACTACCTTCATACACCCACTCACAGGGAAGCCCCTGGACCCTAACTCGCCCCTGGCTCTTGCGCTGGCCGCAAGGGAGCGGGCACTTACCTCCCAGACCCAGTCCCCCGCCAGCAGCCCTGAGCCCAGGACTAAACAGGACAGGGCTGGGGCTGGGGCTGGAGGTCAGGGGGCTTCGCTCTTCATCGACAGCCAGACCAAAGAGCCTCAGCATGGGGACGGGAGTCCGGGGTCGCCCCAGGCTAGTAAACCCCAGTGGGGAGCATCCTCACCCGCATTGCTTCGCCAGGAGATGGAGGGAAGAGGAGAGGAGAGGAAGGAGGAGAGGAGAACGGAGGATAAGAAAAGTATGTTGATTAGTATCATGGACACATCACAGCAGAAGACGGCTGGACTAATCATGGTCCATGCCACCACTAACTGCCAGGCAGTGGGGTTGGAACCAGGGCTGGAGCAGACCCCCACCTCCCCAGCCACCGAGCCCAGTAAACCCTCCCTCAGTCGGGTTCCATCGCCCAGCCCCTCTGCCTCTCAGCCTCAGCCTCAGCCCCAGACCCAGCCGCAGCCCCAGGCCCAGCACCCCTCCAGCCCAGCCCACGCTCCCCTGGCCCAGGGCAGTTCAGAGGAAGATGTGGAGCCCTACACAGTGAGCCTACCTCCAGCCATGCTGTCCTCAAGTGATGAGGATACCAGAGAGGAGCTGAAGAAGATCGGGGTACTCCCACCTCCAGATGAGTTTGCCAACGGGTTGCTGGCCAAGGCACAGGCACTGGCACAAGCCCAAGCCCAGGGGACCCCTGTACCCCAGTCTAAATCTGTCACCTCCCCCACAACACCTACCACCCATACTCCCCTCACCCCTTCCACCACCACCACCCCAACCCCCAGCCTGACCCCCACCTCAAGCCTGACCCCCACCCAGCTCCAGGCCCCTCCTTTCCAGCCTTCCCCCGGAGGAGCAGTCGTCTCAGGGAAGCCATCAGACCCGGACCAGACCCATCCTCCAGCCCTGCTGGCTGAGTCTGGTTCAGCAGCAGACTCTGGTGTGGAGGAGCCAGACACACGCAGTTCCAGTGAGAGAGAGCGAGACCACCACCTGGAGACCACCAGCACCGTGTCCACCGTCTCCAGCATGTCCACTCTGTCTTCGGAGAGTGGTGAGCCCGCCGACACACACACCTCTTACGCTGACGGGCAGACCTTTGTGCTCGACAAGCCACCAGTGCCTCCCAAGCCCAGGCTAAAGTCCCACATCGGAGGCAGTAAAGGCCCGGTAACCTTCAGGGACCCGCTGCTGAAGCAGAGCTCTGACAGCGAGCTGTTATCCCAGCAGCAGGCGGCTGCTCTTGCTGCAGCAGCGGCCGGAGGGGCAGGGCTGGGGCATGGAGGCCTGGGGTCTGGAGGCCTGGGGTCAGGAGGCCTGGGGTCAGGCTCTATATCTGGTCTGGTGGGAGGCCCTGGGAGGCCCCGCTACCTCTTCCAGAGGAGGTCCAAGCTGTGGGGGGACCAGATGGAGGCGCGAGGACCCGGGGTGGGGTTAGGGATGGGGAGTCTTGGCAGTCTAGGGGGGTTGGGGTTGGGGCTAGGGCTGGGGAGTGAGGAGGGAGGCAAACCATCGGTAATGGGGGAACTGAGTTCCAGACTGCAGCAGCTGAATAAGGATACCAGGTCTCTGGGGGAGGAGGAGCCACTGGGGGCATCGCTGGACCCTGGGAGGAAGTCCCCTGTGACAGGTGCCAGGTAAGACAGGAAAGAGGAAGGCTAACTGAACATGGCCAAACCAATCTTAGGCCTTATTCAAGTACTTCTGAGATGCATCATTCCTTCCTCCCTTCCTTGAAGTAATCAAGAAGGAATCTTTTGGGTGGATTAATGCAAGGTTCCATTAGGCTACACAGCTTTCACATATCCACTCAGCTGTTCAAAAAGCTCCATATTCAGTTAAAAGGATTAAAAAACATCTGTAAATATTACATTCTAATTACCACTGCTGGCCTTGTTGTGCATGGTTTGCTCTCTCTCATTATAAAGTATGCCACTGCCGCCATACCCCCTGCACAGCCAACTGCAGTGGTAAGTAAGAGAGACTGAGGATAGAAGACATGCCTAGCCAATGCTACGATGTTAGCATTAACTTTCCTTAGCAAAGCTAGTGCAAACAGGCCCTTTTATTAGCAATCCCCATCCCTCTCTTCATCTGGTACAGCATAGCAATATCAAGGCGGGATAATAGGGTTAGGGTTGAGGTTACACTTAGACATTTTGGTGTGGAACCTATAGAGTGATTGTATGACACGCCATTTTTTAATTACATATAAAGTTTTTTGGAGGATTTGTATTTATTTTGTGGGGTTTCTTTTCTTTCATTGTTCTACTGAAAGTCCTTTGTATTCCTACAGATGTGACAAGGACACAGATGAGAGTAAACTTTAAGTTTATAGCCACTAGGGTAAACCCAAACTCATTTTATTATTCATTTCCTAACCAGCCTATCAACTAACCTCAATGGAATTAAATAACCCTACTTTAATTTTCAGATTTTATTTATTTTATTTCTCAAACCGCCATCAGTTGTTACCTTGTTTGCATAATCCACTGCCTGACCTGTGGAGGACCATAAAACATGACAAAATGTTATAAATCGAAATATAATACATGTATAATCTATGTACTGTATATATGTAGCCCTGGATCTCTCTGACACGCCACCATTATAATGTAAAATTTATATATTTTCAGTAACTGATTGCAGTTTTAAAGATTCTCTCCAATGTACAGTACATTTTCTCTCATTGACAATGCTAGGTCTAGACTGAGTAAACCTCAGATCATCTCAAATAATTATATGATCTAATCCCGTACCGTATAGAGATTATAGACCACCTGAAACATGCTGAGTTCTGAACTCTGTTCTCTGTTTCCATGGTGACAGCATTGGCCTGCTGTCCACAGTCACCTTTGTTGTATCTAGTCAGTTATTAGCTCTAAATCTAATCACACTCAATAAAATACTGTGTGTGTGTGTGCGTGTGTGTGCAGGGTTGGTCGATTGGTGCAAACAAGGTAACACAGGGCCTGGAGGGATGCACTTCCTGAACGCTTCTTCTCATCTCACGCACATACACACTCTCACCTCTGACCTTTAGGCCCTGACCTATGACCCTGCCAGCCTCCACACACTACTCCCTCTCTCCTATGTGCAATGCTCAGCTGGAGTGGGTAGAAGGTGCCTCTAACCACTGATAAAGGATCAATTCATTTTTTAACACCCAAATGGTTTAAAGATGGAATCCGCAGTAGGAGAAACAGCACCACTGTCTGCCCCACCGCCGTTGTTATATTTTTGGTTGTTGACAAGCGGAGGTGAGGAGCGTCGAGCAACATGCTAAAATAAATTGCAGTACATATTCTTCTGTTCTATCACCGTGCAATGATGTCTGAGGTAAAAATAAAAAACTGTGTTTGTTGTTTGCAGTAACTTCTTTGTTGTTGTAATATCGCAAACAGACATGGCAGTTTCACCATTAAGGATTCCAGCTTTAAATTAGGATTGGGGCTAGGGTAATCTGATCCTAGATCTGTTGTTAGGGTTAACATATACCTCTAGCTCCCTCCTTAGATTGCTTTCATCTCTCTCCTCTTTGCCAGTTACCATGTTCACTCCCTCCTTCCACTATGGTCTGCTGGCTGCTTAAAGGGATAGTAGAACCCCAAAATCTTAGTCTGTCAGATATCAAATATTTAATGGAGACTGCAGACTTCTCCTAATGCATATACAATAGCAGGATCTACACATATACAGTGGGGAAAAAAAGTATTTAGTCAGCCACCAATTGTGCAAGTTCTATCACTAAAAAAGATGAGAGAGGCCTGGAATTTTCATCATAGGTACACGTCAACTATGACAGACAAAATGAGAAAAAAATCCAGAAAATTACATTGTAGGATTTTTTATGAATTTATTTGCAAATTATGGTGGAAAATAAGTATTTGGTCAATAACAAAAGTTTCTCAATACTTTGTTATATACCCTTTGTTGGCAATGACACAGGTCAAACGTTTTCTGTAAGTCTTCACAAGGTTTTCACACACTGTTGCTGGTATTTTGGCCCATTCCTCCATGCAGATCTCCTCTAGAGCAGTGATGTTTTGGGGCTGTTGCTGGGCAACACGGACTTTCAACTCCCTCCAAAGATTTTCTATGGGGTTGAGATCTGGAGACTGGCTAGGCCACTCCAGGACCTTGAAATGCTTCTTACGAAGCCACTCCTTCGTTGCCCGGGCGGTGTGTTTGGGATCATTGTCATGCTGAAAGACCCAGCCACGTTTCATCTTCAATGCCCTTGCTGATGGAAGGAGGTTTTCACTCAAAATCTCACGATACATGGCCCCATTCATTCTTTCCTTTACACGGATCAGTCGTCCTGGTCCCTTTTGCAGAAAAACAGCCCCAAAGAATGATGTTTCCACCCCCATGCTTCACAGTAGGTATGGTGTTCTTTGGATGCAACTCAGCATTCTTTGTCCTCCAAACACGACGAGTTGAGTTTTTACCAAAAAGTTATATTTTGGTTTCATCTGACCATATGACATTCTCCCAATCCTCTTCTGGATCATCCAAATGCACTCTAGCAAACTTCAGATGGGCCTGGACATGTACTGGCTTAAGCAGGGGGACACGTCTTTAACTGCAGGATTTGAGTCCCTGGCGGCGTAGTGTGTTACTGATGGTAGGCTTTGTTACTTTGGTCCCAGCTCTCTGCAGGTCATTCACTAGGTCCCGCCGTGTGGTTCTGGGATTTTTGCTCACCGTTCTTGTGATCATTTTGACCCCACGGGGTGAGATCTTGCGTGGAGCCCTAGATCGAGGGAGATTATCAGTGGTCTTGTATGTCTTCCATTTCCTAATAATTGCTCCCACAGTTGATTTCTTCAAACCAAGCTGCTTACCTATTGCAGATTCAGTCTTCCCAGCCTGGTGCAGGTCTACAATTTTGTTTCTGGTGTCCTTTGACAGCTCTTTGGTCTTGGCCATAGTGGAGTTTGGAGTGTGACTGTTTGAGGTTGTGGACAGGTGTCTTTTATACTGATAACAAGTTCAAACAGGTGCCATTAATACAGGTAACGAGTGGAGGACAGAGGAGCCTCTTAAAGAAGAAGTTACAGGTCTGTGAGAGCCAGAAATCTTGCTTGTTTGTAGGTGACCAAATACTTATTTTCCACCATAATTTGCAAATAAATTCATTAAAAATCCTACAATGTGATTTTCTGGATTTTTTTTCCTCAATTTGTCTGTCATAGTTGACGTGTACCTAATACTTTTTTCCCCCACTGTATAACATCATCTACACAATATAATCTACATAAATGGCATGAACTACATAACTTTTAGCTAAACTCTTTAGGTATAAAAACATCTGATATATTCTTGGAATGAACTATCCCTTTAACGTTCAGAGAGATTGGGCTAAATTAATGATCCCGGCCTCACCTGACCAATCAACTTCAAGCTTCAAGCACATCAGCAGAGATAGAGTGGGATTAACTGTTGCCTGCTGTTGAAATACTGTGCATTAGTTGTTTTTACTAGTTTGGTCTTCCTTATTTTAGTATAGTAGATTTGATGTTGATCATGATTGTTTATGATGCATGTAGGTGATAGTGGTTATACAGTATAAAATAGCTTAGATGTAGTTAGTGTGAGGCTCAGTTGACCAACCTTATTAGTCGCAATAGTCTTCTTTCAGGAGTCTTTGGATGCATCTCAATAGTCTAAAATGGCTTCTCTCCTCACCACCTCTCCTTCATCTGCATTGAACTGATCTGAACAGGTGAACGCAACATGGGCGATGGCTACTTGGAATTTACTTTCACCTGTCAAGTTCTTTCATATGATGCGTGACTATGAAGTAAAGAAGGGAAGAGGAAGGAGAGGAAGGAGAGGAGAAGAAAATAAGTGATTTTACGACTATTGAGATGCAGACCTGATGCCTTTGTTTGTCTACTGAGCAGGAGGACCAGTTATGACCACCAGTACCATCCTGACCTGGTTGTGGATAGGAACAGTAATGGCGGCCTGCGAGCTCGCCTCAACTCTCTCTCCATGAAACTCAGCAATGTTCTCAGATAAGGTGCTGAGGGACACTACTATTATAGCATTCTATGGAGTAGTTATGGTTAGTCATGTAGCGTACCAGCAAAGCAAATGTGTTAGTTGGATATTTCACAATGTGTTTGAAGTAAGTATCACATCCCGTCAACTCAACCAATCCCAGAGCTGGACTTTGACATTACCTACATTCCCTGTGATGTCAGAGAATAGCGTGATGTCACATGTGTCATGTGACGGAGTGTTCTGATTGGCCCACTCCTCCCTCTCAGTTAATTTGACTAATCTTGACCTTATCCAGTCAAAATCAACCTCCCTGCATCGTCCCGCCCCCAACATCATCTGATACTTCTATTTCTACAGACTTTCTTTCTGTTCAGTTTAAATTAAGGAAAAGCTAAAATTATGCACACCATTATTCTCTCTCTCTTCCTCCCTCTCTTTTTCTCCCACTTCACACAGTTGCAGAACTCATTCGCTTGATTTCTGTGGTGTGTTCACTCACTCAGTGTTGCTCCATACATTTATCACCATACCATGTCTGTCCCATTCAAATGTATCCATGCCGCCACAACTGCTATATGTGTCGTTCATTCAGTCATTCATTAATGTCCACTCATGCTATGTTGTCATAG